ATCGCGGCAATCTCATTCAACCACACACTTTTCAAGTACCCCAATTGTGGCTTTAGTGGACATTCGTTATGACAAATATGGCCAAATAAACTAGAATCACAGAAATCTCATTCAACCACACACTTTTCAAGTACCCCAATTGTGGCTGTAGAGGGCATTCGTTATGACAAATATGGCCAAATAAACCAAAATCACAGCAATCTCATTCACCCACACACTTTTTAAGTATATCCCAATTGTGGCTGTAGAGGGCTTTCGTAATGACAAATATGGCCAAATAAATTAGACTCACAGCAATCTCATTCAACCACACACTTTTCAAGTACCCCAATTGTTGCTCTAGTAGACTTTCATAATTTTATTTCGCGTAAATGTAGTCTTGAAAGACGACGTTCACGTACAATGGGGGTTGTTTGGAAAATTTTGTTAATATGTGTAGTCTAGAATTGACTCCAACCTTTTCGCATAAGCTTGATTGAATGGAAATTGCGGCTTCAACTAATAAAGCATATAAATGAGCATCACGAGACCTTGAACAAGATTCTTATAATGTGCTATCACTCCAGTTAAGCCCCATCTTTGCAAATTTTAGCATATTATCCAATGGATAGTTGAGAATGAAATAGTAAGCGTATATAACTAAGTAGTAAGCTGATACAGATGAGAGAGAATTGAATAAAATGTTAACTCAACTCAAAACTTATATAAAACAGAAGTAAATTTGAAAATCAGGGTTGTGATGCGGGCAGAGTGAAATAGGGCGCCGCTCCAGAACCACTTCCAAAACTAAATATATATATATTAGTTATTCAGCTTATACCCGAAATTATGATTCTTTCAATACCAAACCCTCAGAGTATCAGAGAACACTGGCTATTTGTGAACCTCCCGTGTCTCCTGGTAGAGCTATCTCAGCCCGCCCAGCACATAATCTGCCACTCTCCCTCAGGAACTGGAGTCAGTCACCATGCGACACTCTACCTCAAGAGCAGGTGTCAGACCATTAAAGTGATGAAATGTTTGTGTGATACGTCACGTGGTTGCTAAAAAATGCAAACATGCTATTAAAACACTTACTAAAATGCATTTTACGCTTATACTAAGTGTTTAAAATGCTTATCATTTACACAGTATACAACAAGGTTGCTTTTTTTAGTCACTCGTGTTGTCAGTGCAGGAAGTATGCAAACCATTACAAAAGTCAAAATTGTTAATACTGTAGTGCAACTAGAAATGCAGTGAATCACTAAGATATGCATTTTTAAAACTTATTTTAGTGTTAATTATGTTTATATGGTACCCAATTGTTGTTTTTCCTTGCTGCTTGTTTGAAAGGAAGTTGAATCGCGCGTGTGTTCTCTCAGTAATGCATGCGTGTTCAATTTAGTGCTGATGTAAGTAGTCTCAAATTATCAATTCTGCATATACTTGCTGTATTCAAAATAGACTCGCAATAATAGAAATTAGGTCTTGAATATGAAGTATTTATCCTGATGGTGACGTCACACGATCGACAAATTTTGGCAGAGCTTCGGTACTATAAAAGTTAGAGGTATACTAAAAATACATAAACGAGTCAGTTGCCTCGAAGTACTTTCACTAGTGGACGCCAGGACAAGGAAAGTTCAATTGATTTTCTATTTTTGTTTTTCATCGTTCTCGCGAAAAGCTACAGAATGCCATTTCTAATATTGTTAGGCTAGAGTGAAGGCGGGTTGGAAGTTCAAAAGACAAACGCAGAATCCACGAGCAAAACTATAACTTTATGGATTAACCAATCAAACGTCGTCCAAAACTATTCCTGTACAGGTGACCTGGGAGATATCAAGATAATAATGATTGACTGATGGTACAATAAAAACCGATAGCCATAAAAAAGCTTTTCGTACGTTCGTCTCAGGTGTACAACTTCCCACAGCTACACTAGGAACTTAGATAAATCAAACATTTAGATGCGCATATATACATTAGTTATGAAAAGGTTGCGTTATGCAAGTAAACCAACGACATTATTACTTACAGTTTATGCGTTGTATGTATTTTTTTTTCACGCTGAACTGAAATGTTTCTCATCGTTTCACAAAGAATGGTGTGTTCTTTAAACTAGCAATTTAGAGTGTACTTGTGTAATCTTTAAGAAGTCTAAGTGATTAGTAATATGTCAATGATAAGAAGTCTAAGTGATTAGTAATATGTCAATGAAAATACACTTGAAATCTTCTGGTATTTTGTCTGAGACTGGACTATTTCAGTTGAAATAGATTCATAATCGAATTATAATATTAGATAATGTGAAAATAACAACCTAAATAATTCTATTAAAATAAGACGTTAAATCTTTGCCCTGCTTTTGCAAGGCACATATGGCCGGTGCTTTCGAACTCCGGTTTCAAGTAGCACAAATGGGATACCTGTCCATTTCAGTCCATAGACGGGATGCTAGATTATTGCACATTAAATCCCAGATAACAACTAGTACCCATTATACAGCTAGGTGGACTGGGGCAAGTGGAGTAAAGAACACAACAACATGACGTGTGCCAGCCTCGAACCCGCAATATGAGTTCAAAGTGCGAAATGATTGTGCCACGCTAACTCGAATAATTCTATAGTTCTTAAGCGAGAGGAACTTTTTTTTCTTAACAAAAAAATGGGATATTTTTTATTAATCAGATATATAATTTAGACTCTTTTTTGTATTTTAAATATTTTAAAAGTACTTCATATATCACAATATTGCGAAATGTAATGAAAAACCCATGCAACTCAATGATAAAATATGACGTTCATAAAAGACGACTTAAATATCACATTATATCCCCCCTCCAGTGGCACAGCGATATGTCTGCGGACTTACAGAGCTAGAAATCAAGTTTCGATACCCGTGGTGAGTAGAGCACAGATAACCTCTTGTGGAGCTTTGTGCTTTATTCCAAACAAACACATTGTAAGAGCAACTGAGGGATATAATGTATTAAACTTAGTACACGATATTTCTTCAGGAACATATATGAAGTTTTATAAAAGGTTTATTTTGTTTCCACAAACTAAAGTCATGAATATACGTTCTAGATTCGGGTACTAAACATGATTTAAGGTAAGTGAATACTTCAGAGGAATAACATATTGTTCTGAATGGTAAGTCAATTATTTACGTGAATGTTTTAGTTCTTTTATTAGTTTCTAAATTCGGGTACTAAACATGATTTAAGGTAAGTGAATACGTCAGAGGAATAACATATTGTTCTGAATGGTAAGTCAATTATTTACGTGAATGTTTTAGTTCTTTTATTACTTTCTAAATTCGGGTACTAAACAGGATTTAAGGTAAGTGAATACTTCAGAGGAATAACATATTGTTCTGAATGGTAAGTCAATTATTTACGTGAATGTTTTAGTTCTTTTATTAGTTTCTAAATTCGGGTACTAAACATGATTTAAGGTAAGTGAATACTTCAGAGGAATAACATATTGTTCTGAATGGTAAGTCAATTATTTATGCGAATGTTTTAGTTCTTTTATTACTTTCTAAATTCGGATACTAAACATGATTTAAGATAAGTAAACAAAAGTGGTACAAATGTTGAAGTTTATTTTAATGTATTTGCTTGTATTTTATTTTATTTTCATGTATTTGCTTGTATTTTATTTTATTTTCATGTATTTGCTTGTATTTTATTTTATTTTAATGTATTTGCTTGTATTTCCCCACTCAGAAGTTTTAGTCATTCATCTAGTATGCTTTTCATTCTATAACTTCGAAAAACGCCCCTCTTATATATTTTGAATACCAACATTACTGCTTAACACTATCGACTAAGACGATATTAATTCGACTGGTTTCCCAAGTTTAAGCTTCCAACATAGCAGTTGGAAGTAACTAAATAT